CGTCCAATTTACTCCCCGCGGGGACCCCCCCGTGCAAAAAATTGCTCCCCGACGAACACTAATTATGACTAGTCATTGAATTGATGATGAAGTGTTTTTGTTCATTTATTTGGCTTGCTTCCTTTGTTTTGCTATCTGTTTCAATTCAGGAACGACTTGATGATGATTATTATTGCAGTGGTAATGATTGTTGAGCTAAAGTGCTTAATTGACTTGAAGTGATTTGCAATCAATTGATTTAATTGATTGATTGGTTGCCAAGTTATGATTATTCGTATTTATCTTTTGTTTGGGGATGCGTGTTTGTGCTGATCTCGACTCTTCCGATTTGCATCGCGCCTTATCAATCCGTAGTGATGTTGTTGTTACATGTAGATCGAAGACCTCTTCGTCGATCTCATGGAATAGCGATTTTTCACGTTTGATATCATTCTTTTCAAGTTTTGCGTTAATCTACTTCTCTTGTTTGATATTATGCAGCTGTGTTCCTGTTTGTTTTTCTTGTTTACGTTGCTTTGAAGCATCCTTAACGTGTGATATTAGCGTATCATATTAATGCATTGTTCAGGCAATAACAAAGTGTTAATCACTAGCTACTGATCATTTTCTGAACTTCTCTCGCACTACTGGGTTTAGTGGAAAACAGCATTCAAAATTTGTCCATTAATTCTTTTCCGTTTAACAGATCATATGTGCAAAGGAGTTGTGATGATTGTGTGCGCTTTATTTGTTTGTTTTTTTTTTTGAGATTTTCGAATTTTTGGATTTGATATCAGCGAATGAATTGTTTTTGAAGTGATCGATTTTTTGGTTGGTATTTTGACATGCTCATGTTTTTATTTATGCGACTCATTGTTTATGCATCCTTATCGTCGTTATGATGCTTCATATCATTATCTTGGAATATCATTATTTATTTATCCGTTTTCATTTTGTTGTGTTCGTGAAGTGCTCAACGGCCTTTTGATGTTGTTCTGATTGTGGTTGTTTTTGTTGCCACACTCATCGTAACTGTATCGCTCTGATATCCAAAGCAACTCAGCTAGCTAGAGGCGCTCAGATGTCAGTACTGGCGCTGTGATATCAAAATGAAACAGTTAGTATGCAGACAACATTCATTGGATATGGCAGCATTGCAGGATTACTACTTCAACATTAATTTGTGTTTATTAATAGTTAGTAGTAGTAGTAGTAGTAGTAGTAGTAGTAGTAATAATAATAATAATACTAATCTGAAATAAAATAATAAGAGTATATAACATAGATGGAAGTAATAATAATGAAATGATTGATTGTGTGCTATTTGCTGCTATTTGTGTGAATGAATGCAAATGATTATTTGGATCGATTCAGTTGATTGATTGATTGATTGATTGATGATTTAATTCAATTTAATTATTCTCACTCATAAATCGATAATAGAATCCAATTAGTGGTTGGAAAAAAAAGTCGAAGTCGGACTCATAGTCATAAGCTGGAGCAGTTGTTTGGGTTTGGCAAAAATAATCACTTACAACCGATTTCTCTATCCTTTTTGCCGCAAACACCCATTATGCAAACACTAAGCATCTATTTTATTTGAGTGATCGATTGTTTGAATAATTAATTGCTGGATTCGTTCATCCATTTCTGAATCATAAACTTTTCACTGCTCTAGCAATAGTATGACGAGCTCGATTATGACTGTTTTGCTTTCTGTTATTGTTTTTTGTTTCCCTCAGTATGAAATTTATTAATGCTTGTTTGAAACGAATTGAGTCGATAAAATGATTTGCCGTTTCAGATTCGTGTTGTAAAAGCCTTCCAAGCTGGGCTCGATCGACGTGAGCCATCGTTGAGTGGTCCAAGTGCAGCAAGGCTACGTGAAATCAGTCGACAGTTGAAACTTCAAGTTGAGCACGAGGGGAAAGGTTATTTTTGAAGATCCTTTTGTTATCAGTATTGTTTCTATCGATGTTTTTGTAGTGCACATGTACAAGCTTCATGTCTTAATTCCTTTATGTTTCTTGAAATATATATTCTTTGCCTGCAAATTAAATATACCGAAAAAAATTTCAACTTTAAGGTGTGCCGCGTTCAATATCTCGTCAGTCGCAATCGAAACAAGGTGAAGCAGTTTCATCGGTTTAACGAATGCAGTTAATTATTGATGATATTATTGGTGATGATGTCGATGCAAATATTGAATGAAATATATGAATAATGATGGTGGTGACATAGGACGGCGAATGCGATTTGATAAATTATGATTTGATATGTTGCAGTTTAAGTGGTTTACGAAACATAACCTCAGTTGAGCCGTTCTGTATTATCCTTATTGTTATAACTCGAAAAATGAAATAATCTAATTCGGATGGTGGAATCGAAATTACGAACTGGTTTTGTTGTTGTGATATTTATATCGGACGAGTTAGGTCTTTGGAGCCTTCTGATCTGATTCAGTGGGCTCATCAGTATAGTTTGCATTGTGGTTTTTTATTGGCTAGTTCATAATTGAACTTAACTCTTGTCGTCGTCATCATCATCATTTACCATATTTGTTGCGAAACGGAGCGACTTTTTCGGAAGGAAGTGATTGAAATGAATCAATCAATTTTGGATGTGATAACTTTCAAGCAGCTGACATTCATCCTTTCCCTTATCTATCCATCCTTAATCCTTGATTGCATTCTTCATTGATCACGGTTCTGAGCACTGCCGTGCAAATGTGCCGTCGCGTTGCGTTGCGTTCTTTTCTATAATTTCGGATTTTGTCTTTTTTGAACTTGAGTTAGGAACTTCTGATTTGCCGACCGTTCTCTTGATTTTTTGAGCGTCTGCTACACACATTACTTTACAATTTCTACAGTGAGTTCTTTACTGTACGATGATTCTATTTTAATCGCTGGCTTATCTCCGCCATCGATGACTGGCAGTTTCATTACAACATGTATCGACAGCAAATTAGTTATCTGATTGTATATGCATATTTTCACTTTAAATGTCATTTGTATAGCATTATTAATTTCTTTCCTTCATATCCCATTGGCCAGTAGTTATTACGTTCATTATCACGGTTCGTTAGATTCATCGTATCTGTATTAATTAATTTCTATAGCAATATTTCATTAACTTTTAAATATCCGTTGAAATCTTTAAATGGTATGATTGATTGGTCGGTTGATTGGTTGAAATTCATCTGCCTTATAATAATGAATAGTTGATAGTTGAATTTTTTGAGTGAAATTCTGATTTTGAAAGTTTGAAGAAGCAATTTTTAAAAAAATAGGTCGACACGGCGCATCAAAACCATCGAATAACGAATTTAGCTTAACAGACAAGCAGTAGATTCATTTTGTAGGCATTTGGATTTTGCATTTGGTTGATTGATTGTTTCGAATATATGTGCTTGTGAATTTATTGCATATTATAATTATTTTCATTAGTATGATCATTAACTACTACATTGCTACACAACGCTAAACGTCGTGTATGTTTCTAACATTCACCAGTGGCTATCCACAATGTGTCTGCTAACGTTCTAAGCTGGAATTGTTCATGTAGATCAGTGTTATTCATGCAATTAATGATACTACGAAATTAATACAAGATCGTTTATCGTTATGTTTACATGATTATTACCATTGTTCTGAAAATATTATGACAATTATGTTCATCACTAATTGTTGTTATTATATGCTCTATATGCGTGTGATTTTGTGCGTTTGTTGTCATTATCGCGTTGCCCATTTTGAACAGCTTTAGCGGTATTATTATCATATCTTTTCTGTCTTCGATTCATGTATTGGTTAATGTTGAATAATTCATTCATCAATAATTATTAGCCAATAATGATCAGTTAAGCAATCGATCGACACAAACTCTATTCTGTTTCGGTTTGTTATTTATTCATTCATTCATGCATCCTGTCGCTTCAGCGTGGTCGTACTCTTTATTTCTTCCACTCTATGCAAATATCACTGCAAGAAAATTGAATTATTTCAGTTATAAGTTATAGTTGAGTATACTAGTATTGGATTCATTTAAAATGCAGGAAAAGAAGTGTTGTTTTTGGATGGTCAGTGGTCATTTTTTGATTTCGGTAGGGTTGGTCGGTTGGTTGTTGCTACTTTCTTGAACGATGCATATATAGCTGCTAAAGGTAGATAATGGCCGGAAATTTTTTGTTTAATAGAAAGATGAAGAAAGCTTATTGCATTGTTTGTCTTTTGTTTGTTGATTGATGCAGTTGTTTTCTGGAATGAACATTGACTGATGAAGTAATTATTTGTTGGTGATCACACCGCGTTATCTTTATCCCCGTCATGGCTGCCCGCTTATATACTTTGTCACTCCTCATAAACATTTGCATTCAGTATTTTCTTTCATTCTGTTTCAGTGTATGCCATTTTGACTTCATAGTGCCCCCTATTACTGTCGTAGCTGGTTTGTTCCTTCTCATTAATTTTGTGTTGTTTCGTTTTGTTCATGTTTAGTGCGCGAATTTGTGTGCGTTTTCTTCGATTCATTGTTTGATTTAGATGTTGATTGATTGATTGACTGATTGATGAATTGATAAATTGATTTAGTGAATGGGTATTGGTGCGAGAATGATTGTTGTTTGTGGTTGGTGGCTGTGTGAGTCAGCCTTTGACGGCCGAGTAAATGAATTTCTCGAAGTGTTCACCGATTGATCAACTGATTCAGAGATTGCTCTTGGCAATAATCACTCTCTGATATAATTCATCCCGGTTCCATATTCAGCTCACCATCGCCACACATTATAGCAGCAATTTTACCAGTTTTCAGTTTGTAAAATTGTTGATTTTTTTCGCTTTCTTTACATTCATTTCAGCGATGATATGATATTTTTTGTTTTTCTTTGCTTATGCTTATTATTGATGGGATTTAATTGCTTTTGTGTTACGCTTGATCTTTTTGTTCGATTCTGTTCAGTTGTGTTGTGTTTTATTCTGTTCTGTTACCGTTCAGTTCTGCTATGCTCTAGTATTGCTCCTCCTCAGCGAACTTTCTAATCGTGTAATATAATCATTTGGGGTTATTCATTTATCAGTTGAGTATAATTTATTATTGTTCGTATGATTTCTGATTCTTTTAATTTCATTTCGTTTATTCCTTTGTTTTGATTGAATATTTTGTTTCATTGAAACCTACTGAATTGATTTCGGTTCCGCTTTGTTTTTATCATTAATGATACTTTTTTGTTCATTATTGCTGATTTTTATTATTGTTAAAATAATAATGGAATAATACAATTTGAAATAATCATAGTAATAATGTAACTTTATTAGATTGAAAATGTTTATTAAATGCAGAACTAATTTCGGTTTCCTTTTCTCGACATCATCAGTTGATGAGTGACCGTTGCTGTTATTCAAACCCTTGATTTCACATTTGCTGCTTGGTGCTTGGTTCTTCTCATGCCAGCTGTCATACGCTCATTTCGTTTATTTATAGTGTTATCATGTTTGTTTGCTCGTTTCTTATTTTCATTTTGCTCGCACTTTCCATTCGTCATATACAAAGATGGTGTTTTTCGTTAGCTTTTTGCTGTCAGATCCAGCCGTTCATCCAACGCTGCTCTTTTTCACTAATTGCATTGTTTTCTTAATTTCTGTTATTTGACTATTATTGTTAACGCTAGTATTGGATGGAGTTATTATAATGTCATTATAATCATAATAGTTAGTACTATTGATATTAATACTGTTAGTGTTATTGCTATCATTTCCTCAAATAGCTGGTACTTGTGTACAGCTCAGCAGTACATATGTATATGCGTTTTGATTTTTTTTTAAACTTATTTATTTATGATTTGGTGGTGGCATGGTGTGAGTGAGCTTGTGTGTGTATGTATATATGTAGGTGCAGAAAAGAATTTTAAAAATTTGATAAAAGCAAACTGAAAATTTATCGGAGAGATTAAATAAATTTTTGCAAAAGTCCCAAAAAAAGGGGACTATTTTCGTTCTGATCCCAACAAAAAAATTAATTTTTCGCCTCACACATCATTTTTCTATGCATTTTTGTGATCATTATGAATTACGTACCTAACAACAAAAGAAACAATTGTTGCTTCTATTTTGAGAGGTTTTTTGTTTCGAATTTGAGTTAAAGTATTGTAATTGTTGTGGTTTTGTTTTTTTTTAATTTACGAACGGTAATGATGATGGCATTTTGAACGAAAATGCTGACATTTTTTGATCTTCCTCTGCAAAATGGTTTCGCAAAAAAGCTTTCATCATTTAACTCATCAACGATATATCGTTTGCAGTTTTTTTCCAAGATCATCATTTATTATTTTGTTCATTTATTGCCGGCACGAACAAATACTGCCGCATATGGAGACAGACGCATGCTACGCACTTAGTAAACATAATGAAAAATAAAAATGTGTTTTTTCGAAACAAAAATGTGTGTGATAATCATTTGATATCATGAGTAGTGGTATGATAAACGACAAAAACGTAGAGCACATCGAAAAACTCGCACAGCCAGCCAGCCAACTACTCAGCATGAATTATTTCATGATATTACTAATTGTTGAACGTTATTAGGTTTGATTCGGTTTGTTTTATTCGCAGAATATTATCATTATGATTATCATGATTATGAACATTGTTTAGGTTGATAAAATCGTTTTTGAAAAATAAAATAAACATACAATCATTAATGTTTGTTTTGATTGCTGCTTTTTCAAGCTATTACTTATTTGGTAATATTCCTTATAAATATTTTTGTGAAGCATTCATTTGTTTATTTTTGTCAATTTTAAGGAGGGAGAAATTCAGCGCAAGTGTATGTGCATGAGTATCGGTTAGGAAAAAAGGAAGTATAATTGCAAGGAAGAGGAGTGGTACGAAGAAGGAAATATTAAATGAAGGGAAGAATGGAAGACGATACAAGGGAAAGGGTTCCAAGTATTCAGTCCATGTGGCATTAGAGTAGATATTTTCTTTGTCGATTTGTTTGATGAGATCGATCAATATATGATAGATCTGTTGTATCCTCATCAGCTGCGATAGAATTATCGTCATCACTAAATTGGCGTTGGACCGGCTAATTGGTGCGCACGCATGCCGTGCCCTCTCTCTGACATCTGCTCTCATCTCATCATTAATTCGTTCACTCGCATAGTATCGTTTGTTTCGTTCATTCTTTTCCCTCCCTCGATGTGTTGATGCTGCTGATACGCGGATGGCTGTGCATTAAAGACGACGACAACAATTGACCACCCACGCTACAATAGCAGACGGCACATTATCACTTTTGCTATCATTAGGTGATGATATTGGCTTTTTGCTTTTCTTTCGCTTAGGCTCAAGTGTTTTTGATGGATGGATCAACTAATAGTCCATTAATGATGAACATCGCCATTGTTATTGTTGTAATCACCTGCCTCATAAATCTCGAACTAAACTTGTAGAATGTTACTGATGGTAACAAGTACGAATGGGATGTGATTTAGATGTTGATGTAGCCGTACTGATAAGGAACGAGTGAAGTTCTAATGAGTATGAAACGAGTGCAGCAGCAAGCGTCACGCTACTCAACATTAAAACACTGTCAGTTAGAGCAGAATCGAGCAACGAGCATGCATTACGCTAACACTGATGATCAAATAAGTATGAATGAAACCAGTTCAAAGTGGCCATCAAAGAGCAGTATTCTAGAAACGCCTGAGCGTAAACGTTATCGTTTATCAACGAGTTTCGCCGACTCTGGGCTTGGCTCATCAATATTCGGCTCACCGCCAGCCGAACAGGTAAAATGATTATTTTACAAACTGCTTATATTTACCTAATTGAAATGATGTTTTGATCATTAACGGGCTTGTTCATTTGTAAAGATAAGTGGCAGCACGAATACATCACCCTTGCTACGTACACCAACGACGAAGACAAATGGCTCGAGGAGTGGTTCTGAATCGACGCCTTCTCCATTGCGGTTCGTCGTTCATACTCAGAAAACGTCATTTCGTTGTTCTTTGTTCAGAATACAACTCTTTTTACAATTTTTATTCTGTTCATTTCATTCGAAAAAAATTTTATTCGCGTTGTAAAAGTTTTTTGATGTGATTGTGATTATTATTTGAGAATTGGTTATGATATTGTTATAGTTATTATGATTGTCATTGTGAGAGGAGAGGTATGACTAAAAGAATACGACTTGAAAATGAAGAAAGACGAATCATAATAGGCAACCAAGTCTTATTTTTGCAGATCGTTTATTCATATTTCTTCATATAGTTCGTCATTTTCGTCACCTGAACTACGAGCTTCGCCATCCGACCGCAATTTGAGACTATCGAATCCAGCAAACGCTATTGGTACGTGAAAGATGCTGATTGATTCGTTCATCATTAAGTAGTTATGGGAATATTCGAGTGTTTGGTTGAGTTTTGCTCTTCTAGGATTTCGATTCAGTGGCGGTGCATTCATGAAAGCAACAAGCAGCGATTTGGATTCATCATCAGTACATCAAGGACGATCGCTGACTGATGAACGAGAACGAACATCAACTTGCTGTGCACGTCCGATCAATCGTTCTCTTCAACTATCACCTGCAACCACTTCGTACTGGTCAGTGATTTATTATGTTTGTTTGCTACACTTTCAAATTTTTTCTCAAATCATACTTTTTATACTATAATTCCGAGTGATTTAATAAGATTTGTCGCTACTGCAGTTAAGTGTATCACGTTTTACGCTAACTAATGTCGTTGCTGAATGTTGATAAAATATCCAATAAACTCGTGCAAGATGCATAGGATATTTTTGGATGATTATCTTTAACGATTTGATTAGTTCTGAATTGAGTTTTGATGCACATAGCAAACTTTACCAGCCCCTCAGCAGTCATCTGATTATTGTGATCATGATGACGGGAGGAAGGAGAATAATTTGAAGAACGGTTGATGAATCATTATTGATTGAAAATGGTTCTGACAGTTTAGTTCGGTAATTGTTTCAGTGTGAAAGACGAGAATAATGTGGGTGCTGAGGAAGCAAATGCTGATGTGACAATTCCATATGCACAACCCGAAACACCAAGTAAAGGATTTGGCGTGGAGGTTATTGGATATTTATTTATTAGGGTTGACAGTTGGGACGCCGTCTCTCTCCCCCCTCCCCGCCCCATCTCTTGTTACTCCTCCGTAGGGGCAAGGGAACCCCGTGAGGGAAGGGAGGATTCCCCGCTAGCAGGGGCTACCAAAGAAAACACGTACACATTTTGAAGGGATTGAAATATGATTACGAAAATGTTTTTCAAATCTGACAGGCCAGATGGGGAGCAAAGTATTCGTCCCGCGACCTCTCTGTGACGATTTGCAGATGAAAACGTCGATTGTCGATTTCCGACAATTATTTTCTCAGGAAATTAAAATGTCTATATCTCAGTAACAAATTATTCGGATTATATTTCTCCGAAAAACATTGATTGTCATTTTACGACAGTCGAGGTTTTTTGAAGAAATTAAAGTGCCATTATCTCAGTAAAAGCTGCAGTTAGAGAGCTGATGTTATCCTTTCACGGTGGATGTTATTTGTCCTGTTTTATCTCCAAACAGACTCCTAACTCATTCTGAGCTGTTTGTATTCATTTATTTATTCACTGAATCAGCAATTACAAATATCACGAGTCCATACCTCTCTGCTATCACCAGTGTTACCAATATCACATCGTTCTTTCCGTGTATCATTCGACTTGTTGACATTTTAACATGGATTATTTATTTGGTGATTATAGAGATATAGGGTTACTTTCCTGTATTACCCTATGATTTCTAAGGAGAATTGATCAAAATGAGCCACAAAACACTCTCTGCTTTATCGAATGAACATGCAAGGCTGTTGAAAACAACCGGTAGTGGTAAGGAAGTAATCTTTCGAGATCAGTGATAAACAATTGATGTAACCAAATAGTTTCATATTGATCGGCATATTAAACATAATACGCTTTGTCATAATTAAACAGCCGAATAGCAACGCGGTAATTACTCATAACAACAACAAACATTTAGCTAGAGAGTTGATCCTTTCACCGTTGATATTATTCATCCTGTTCTATTCCCATGCGGATTCCCAATTCATTCAGAGCACTTTTACATTTTTCCGAAAAACGGGAATTAAGGGTTTTCGGTTTTTCTTTTTTTTTGAAATTGTAAACTCTTTCAGCTATTTAAATTGATATCGGAAGATTGAGCGCTCAAAGTTGCAGATGTTGGAGCGAAGAATTCTCGCAGTGGATGATGCATTCAGAAGTGTGACGACATCAACGCCGTTGAGAGAGGTTGAATTCACCTCTGTTCGTATTCCGTCAATCGATAGCAGTGATATTTATCGTGTACCCGAACAAGCGAATGGACCTCTTGAAAGCAGGTTGTTTATCTTAGTTTCCATTTTTACGTTTTCCCACCAACTGTGTGCATAGAAGGATGTGCTCATTTCAAAACTTTCTGTGCCGTTTCATTCAATTCGAAAATGTTTATTTTGCGATTCGGTTCCTTATTTGCGATGATATAATATTTCAGAATTGGTAAATCATTACCGTTTCGTTTTCAGCATTTGTGACCATGATTCATTGCAAATAGATTCGAGTGCTACAGAGTACGGTCCTTTGCAATCTCAGCAAGTGGCTACAATTTATTCATCACAATGTTCCCCTTTCATTCGATCACCACTCAAAACGTTCTCCTCCTATCAGCAATGTGCAGTCAGCTCTAGTGAACAAATGTTAAGCGCCTCCAATTCGCTGGCGGTTAGAGTAGATGCCAATTCGCAGGTGTGTAAGCCTGAATTAGAGGACCAACCTCTCTCCGAGAATGCAGCAATCTTTAGAACACCAAAAAGGCGTCCGAAACCGGTAATATTCTATTGTTTTTATGCATTTTGTTATTTAAAGGTGAAAAAAATTCAGATGCAATGCATAAATTATGAAGAAATACTTCACATGAATAAGTTCCAAAAAGGTATTTTGTTAATGAAATGACGTTTCATCGTATTAAATTTGTATGTGAAGTTGAGAAGAACATATCATTATTATGTTTTTGTTGCAGTATTCGAGAGGTTGGATGCAAATTGCTTGTGGTCGAACTGCAGCGCAGGTTTCTTTCGCTTTTTTCATTGTTCTTCTTCGCTTCTCTGTCATAAATAATCGATAAATGTATAGTGCATAACGACTTCTTAAGATTGCGCCAGTGTAAATTTGAAGTTTATTTTTTATTCTGTTTCGTTTTAGCTCAGAATGACTCGACTTGCGCGTGAATTTTTGAATTCACAACAACCACTTACTCGGTCGTCATCTTCGTTAACGGACGTCGATGAAGTGAAATTGCACATTCTCTCCTAAATTCTAATGCAGTTAAGAGACAAATCAACGGGTCGCCAACTTTTCTAACAAGTTGGTTATAATAAACCAGTCAACGTCCACCTCTGTATTGGTATATATTTATTTTAGTTTTTGATAATTGGAAGCAGATTAACGTAATACTAGTACATCTTAGTCGGTGATAAGGTTTTTAATTGCTGTTTTAAGTCGAGTAATTTTTGTTTTTTCTAGTTTCAGCATTGTTCGGACGGATGGATATGTTCTGCAGTTAATCAAAATGGCATCCTTTTATGCTGATATGTGTATGTTTGTATGTCAATATGAATGATATTTGTGGCTGAACTGTGATATCTGCACCGCGCACTTATTTGTTCAAAGCGATCTTTTCATGCTCGTCGTAAAGTAATGCCGTGTTTTATTAATTAACCACATATCTACTTATGAATTGTTATCGTGATACATATCAACAGCTATACATTTCTTGAAATCCCATTCTCTATCCTCTTTTCATTGTTTATGTCGTTTTGCGCATCACTTCATCATATGTTATTTTGTTTTCATTTATTCTTGTCGACTGCACGCATGTTATGATACCTCAGTATTATCATATTTTTTCATTCATAATTCATTCTACTGTTGATATCAGTCTATAATTTACCGATGAAATTTATACATATATATTAGGATGATACAAGAAACAAGACCATCTTTGATTTTTGAAATCTCGGCCAATTTTGGTTCGTTTTGGTTGAGAATGTTTTGATCAGAAATAATGTACTTTGCCAGCTGTACACAAAACATTTCAGCCACTCGAACTTTTCAATGTAGCAATAGTTTGAGTGCTGTTATTTGTTACTTGGTTTTTCGGTGTTTTATTGTCCGATTCTTCACGCATTCATTAAAATAATTCGTCCAATTTTATCGAAACTCCGTGCAAAATTTCGTAACGAGCGAAGTTATAAGCTGAAGTTTCTTCGTAACACGAGCCGCTGAAATTTTTCTCAATAGTAATAAGCATTTTCTGCCAGCGAACGTTCGTCCGTATTGTTCGTTTTTCGAGTTTCCGCTTATTCTCGGTGTATAAGACGGAAATAATTCAAATTTGTAAAACAAAACAGTCTGTCTGAACGTAAAACAGAAAATATTACAACGAGTGTAGCTTGTGGCCAACGATAATCTTCAATCAATGTCAACCAGAATCGGTCGATCTTTCAAAAATCTGGTTATAAAAAAACTTTTCATGCAATTATATATACATTTATTTATTTATTCATTTGTACAGGTACATGAATATATATTTGAAAGTGCCAAATGTTGATCGTCACTGTTCATAATGTTCACTTAAAACCAGTTGCTGAATTGATTGCAGCCTAGAGATGATAATAATTCAACTTATATGTTTCACTGAACGCATTGGTTGCTTGCTTGCTCACTGGAAATGTAAATGAATTGTTATTGTGTCGTTTGCTTGTGCATTTTTTGATTTGAATTATTTCGCTGGGTCATTCTCTTGATTGATGGGAATGATGATCTTGTGAACATCTACAATATTTTATTCACTTTCATTCTTTTATTCGTTTTCGATTAGTACCACTGTGGAATGTAATTTTGTACGAGTTTTCCTTTTGTATTTGAGTGGAGTGGCGAGCAATTCTTTATGAAACTACAATATATCTGATGTGTAAACCTCGTGTATTATTATACTTACTTGCTATTCCTTAGCTGTTTCCTAGCAGTTATCACTTATACGTCATATTGCCTCAGTCCAGCTAATCTAGACGGCGTTATTTTAGGATTATTCGATCAGTGAGTGTTATTGGTGCGTTTTTGTGGGTCAATTGATGGTGCTCTTTATTATTATTGTTTTATATGAAAAACTTTGGACCTGTTCGTTTGTTCACGCATGATAATTATTACATGACACGTAGTTCTTTTCTTGCAGCTTGTTTTATCGTAGTTTTCTTTCTACTAGAATAATTTGCATATTATAGGAGTGGTTCGGTTGCAGTTTTGTACATATTCGCTGCAATAAGAGAACGGCGCTCCTTAAATGATCATTTTTCAGTTGCTTTTTTTCGCTGTAGAGTAATTTCAATAAATATTACCGTGATTGAAGCGCCATTCGTTCGTAAAATTCCTCCGCTGCATGAACATCACTGATGAAGGAAATTGCTGTTTTTAATTTCTCCAGATTTGCCGGCACCTGCATTCTGAAACCGATGCGCTTCCAGTTTTGCTCATGAATGTGACTTATTTCATAATATTCGACAATAAAACGATGAGAATATTGAACATTAAAACACCTCAACATTGAAACACCTCAACATTGAAACACCTC